AATGCTGGTTGGCTGACATCATCCTGTCAGCCCACACACTGGCCTCCTCCATTTTTCCCAGGGCCCTTCTTGCTGACTTAGCCCTGAATCCTATGTAGCAGAAAAAGGAAATTCCAAGGACCAATGGCATTAGTTATTGGAGGTGATACTCCAAATCCAACTCTGGGCACCCCACCCTTATTGTTAACCCCACTTACCCCAGGTGCCACTTAAGCCTAAGATCTTCTCCACCAAGTAGGGTCATAGAGTCATACACCTAGAAAAGAGACAAGGATTCCCACACAGGAAGCTTCCTTTGATTCAGAGAGCTAGGAAACCTAGGTTTTAGTCCCGTCCTTGCAACTAACTCACAGTGTGATTTTGGGTGAGTCATGGGTTATAGATTTAGAACCTTAAGGGAGCTTTAAAGCATTGAGCTCAACCCCTTTATTTTACAGATGAGGAAACTGAGGTTTCAGGAAAGCTGTGACTTTGCCAAAATGATGCAGCTACTAAGTTTCTGAGGCAGGATTCAAACCCAGGTCTTCCTGTCTTCAAGGTCAGCACTCTATCCATTATGCCATGCTACATATTTACCTTCTATGGGCCTCAGATCCTCTACTGTAAAATGGGGACAACCCCTACCCTAATCCCCTTCTCAGAGAGCTGTCATAAGGATTGAATTGTAAAGCCCTATATTAATGCACCAGTGTGGTTATTATAGGGAAAGCCTGTCACTAATTACTAGCTAATAACTGTAGTAACATCTCCCTTCTCTGGGCCTCAGTTTCCTTGTCTATAAAATGAAAGGGTTGAGTTAAATGATCTCCAAGATGCCTTCCACTCTGACATTCTAGCTCTGTGTTCTATGGAGATGGGAATCTGGCGAGTACCCAAATCAGGGAGTGGTAACACCTTGGGAGAAGGTAGATCTAAGGGGCTGGAGAGATGAGGGTGTGTTTATTAGCCAGTAAACCTTTTCTAGGTCTCCTGGGGACCTGAGGGGAGACATAGCCCTATCTTCAAGGGACCTCCAGTATAAGGTGAGAGATATAAGTTGGAAGGACCTCAAAAATCATCTTGTTGGTCTGGTAACTGAATGACAGTACCACCTCTCCTGCTGCCCTCTGCTGACTAAACCCAGAAGTATTACTTCATCCGAAGAGCCCGGGAAGGAGTCTGGTCCCCAGCCAATCATTCTATTTAGGATCCTAGGGTTAGAGTGGAAGAAACCTCAAAGGTCATCAAATGCAACCTCTCATTTTATAGATGAGAATACTGAGGTCCAGAGAGGTGGGGGGGGGGTTTCAAACCTATTCTTCATTCCTAAACCCAATGTTTTAGTCACTAATCCCATTCTCAGGGGGCAGAAGTGAGTAGATGGAAATGGAGCAACCCTAGTCTGAGAGTCCAGTGACAAGTGGTCATCCAATCTCCATTTGAACACTTTTTGTGAGGAGAGACCCACCACCTTTCAAGGCTGCCCCATTGAATTAAAATTTTGAGGAAATTCCAATTCAAATGAACAAACATTTTATTAAGTAACTACTTTGTATATATAAAAAAGTTGCAAACTAATGGCAACCACATAATAGAATTCTCCAAATCACTAGTAAGAAGAGAAATGCACATTAGAACAACCGGAAGGTTTCACCTCAGTTGTCAAAGATGATGAAAAACAGGAATAGTCAATGGTGAAGGGGCTATGGAAAGATCAGCACACTGACACATTGATAGTGGAGCTATGAATTGGTCCAAGCAGTCTAGAAAACAATTTGAAATCATGAAAAGAAAGTGACAAAACTGTTCTTATCCTTTGACCCAGAGATTCCACTTCTAGGCACATACCCTAAGGAGGTCAATGACAAAAAGATATCCTGCATATACAGCAAAACATTTTAGGAAGTCTTTCCCTTTGAACAGTCACCACCCCATTTGCCTTAGGGTAGGGGAATCATGCTAGATAAGTTGCTTCCTTCCACAGCTGGGTTGGCTCCTCAAAGGGTACAGCGTCTCAGCTATGGGGTCAATTCAATCAAGCAGGTCACTTAGCTGATAGGCTGTTTCTTTACCAGACTCAGCTGTTGCTGGTATCAGCTATAGTGGCCTCTGCTATGGACCCCAGGTGCGGCTGTTGTTGTTACTGTTGTTTGTCCTTCGTTCTCAAAGAGGACCAATGACCTCATGAGGGTGATGTCTTGACCATCTGATGGCTCTTCCAACCTTTCAAAGGTCACAAGATTGTAACTTGGTTAATTCCATCTCCTAATACGCCTTCACTTAAGATCAGGAAGAATATTGGAGAATATTGGATATGCCCTTTATAAACCAGAAGGAAGGATAAATCCAAGCATACTCTTAAAAGCCCTTCTCCTTCTCCCTCTGAGCCTTATTGACCAGTCCCCCCATTACACTACTATGGCTTCTGGAAAGAGTATGACAATAAGCCACCCTTTGGCTCCACTCGCAACTCACAATCCCTGCAATCTCCAGACCCAAATGAAATTCTTTCCCTGAACATCACTTCCCCAACATGTCTTGTCTCCTATTAGAATATAAAATCCTAAGAGCAGGCACGTTCTCATTTTCATTTTCTCATTTTTCAGCACCTAGCAGAGTGTCCCTAGGCCCCTAATAAATGCCTATTCATTCATTTAGTCCTATATGTTTGTATGCTTTTGTGTGGAATCAACCCCATTAAGCTAAAGTCATGTGACTAAGGCTCACTCAAATAGAAGAAGTCCAAGAAAGAGGCAGGGTGCCTGCTGTCTCTGAGTGAAGGCTCTCAGGCTTGTTTCTGATCTGCCAAATCCACAAATCCATACAGCCCTCACTGAGGGCTCCTCACTCCTCGCTGAGGAGACTATACTTTTACTGGTGGGTCATGTGGAGCCATGGCAGTTTCCTGAGCAGGGCAGGGATATGGTCAGAGCTGGACTATCTGATCTCTTATCTAAGAAGGGGAGAGGCAGGAAGAGATATCAATCAATGACATATTGATGAATGGTCTACTATGCTCAGAGCCCTAGAAAAGCTCAGTCTGGCTGCGAGGATAGTATATAACCACCTGTGAGGCCCAGCCACCATCCTAGTTCATGTCCCCATAACTTCTCACTTGGACTATAGTCTTTTAATCAGTCTCCTTAACTCTGGCCTCTCCTTTCTCCAATCCATCATCTGCTCAGTCATCAAAGTGCTTTTCCTTAAGTGCAGGTTTGACCAAGTCACCCCCCTGCTTGATAAATTCCAGTGGCTCCCTCTATAACTCAGATACATACTCCTTTGTTTGGTCTTTAAAGCCCTTCACCATTTAGTGTCATTCTATTTTTCCAGCTTTATTATGTAGTATTCTCCTTCACACATTTTTCTACCCAGTGAAACTGGCCTTGTCCTGCACTCCATCTCCCAACTCAGCATCTTTGCAGAGGCTCTCCCCCTGACCTCTGCCTCTTAGAATCCCAGCTGCCTTCAAAGCTCAGATAAGCGCCACCTCCTGTGAGAGGCCCTTTCTGATGCTCCCCGCTGCTAGGTAGTGCCTCCCCCTGCATTACCTCATTACCTGACAGCTATTTAGGAGCCAAAGACCTATGGTGCATCTCAACTATTCAGCACTAATGGAGCCACATTGATTAGTGATAAGGACATGATTTTGGAGACATGGGTGGAATACTTCCATAGTGTTCTCAACAGACCATCATCAATCATAGCATTATACCTCAGATTGAAGTCAATGCCTCTCCAGTCCTATTCCCAAATGAAGAAGAGGTTTCAAATGCCATTAGGCTCCTCTTGTGTGGCAAAGTGCCTGGCGTTGATTCTGCTCCACCTGTTCCAGAGGTTTACAAGGCAGGGGGTCCACGGCTCATACAAAAGCTGACTAAAATTTTCTGGGTTGTATGGCAAGAGGAGGTTATCCCCTAGGAATTCAAAGATGCCTCCACTGTCCATGTCTACGAAGGAGGGGCAGCTAGGTGGCACAATGGATAGAGCACCGGCCCTGAAGTCAGGAGGACCTGAGTTCAAATCAGGCCTCAGACCAAACACTTGACACTTACTAGCTGTGTGACCCTGGGCAAGACACTTAACCCCAATTGCCTAAAAAAAAAAAAAAATCCAACAACAACAACAAAAAAAAAAAACCAGAAGTGATTCTCTCCATCTCTATGAAGGAAAAGTAAATAGGTTGCCCTGTGACAATCATGGAGGTGGGGGTGGGAGGGAATTGCCCTCTTTCTTACTCACTGCTGGCAGGATTCTTGCCAGAGTCCTCCTTAATAGGCTGATCCTTCACCTAGAGGATGGCCATCTACCTGAGAGCCAGTGTGGCTTCAGAAAGGGCTGAGGACAGTCAATATGGTGTTTGCTGTCCAACAACTCCGGGAGAAATGCCAGGAGCAGAACAGAGGTCTGTACACAATATTTGTCAATCTTTCCAAGGCCTCTGATAGTTGTAAGGGCTTGTGGAAGATCATGGCAAAATGTGGTTGCCCGGAGAAGTTCATCAGTATTGCACATCAATTTCATGACAGCATGCTTGCCCGGGTACTAGATAATGGACAATGCTCTCGTTCTTTCCCAGTCACCAGTGAAGTAAAGCAGGGCCATATGCCTGCTCCTATGCTTTTTAGCATGGTGTTTTCAGCAAAGTTGTCAGATGCCTCCAACAAGGACAAAAAATGGCATCCAAGTCAGCTACTTCACTGATTGATGGTAAATTATTTAACTTGAAAAGGCCACATGCCAAGACTACAGTAGAGGGAGAGTTGGTGCATGATTTTTTGATCACAGATATGAGGCACTCAATGCAGTCCCTGAGGCTTGAGATGTAACAGAGTACGGATATACTCTGCTGCTTGTACTAATTTTAACACCAAGAAAACAGGTTCTCCACCAGCCAGTACCACACCATCCATATGTGGAACTATTGGTTACAGCAAATGAAGAAATTTTGAATGCTGTGGATAAGTTCACTTACCTTGGCAGTATACTTTCCAGGGATATACACATAGATGATGAGGTTGACACATGCATTGCCAGAACTAGCTCAGAGTTTGGGAGGCTCTGAAGGAAAAGTTGGAGAGAAGAGGTATCAGACTGCTTACCAGTCTGAAGGTCTACAGAGCTGTTGTGCTGACCTCATTGTTGTATGCCTGTGAAACCTGCACTGTCTACCAGTGCCATGCCAGAACACTGCATCTCTTCCTTTTGAATTATCTTAGGAAGATTCTGAAGATCACCTGGCAAGATAAAGTACCAGACATTGTGGTCCTTTCTCTAGCTAACCTGACAAACATACATTTACCTAAAAGACTATTTTACAGAGAACTCACATAAGGCAAGTGCTCACATAGGGGTCAGAAAAAGCAATATAAGGACACTCTCAAGGTCTCTCTGAAGAACTTTGGAATCGATTGTGAGACCTGGGGGACTCTGGCATAGGGCTGCCCAGCATGGTGTACCTGCATCAAAGAAGATGCTGTGCTCTATGAGCAAAGCAGAATTGCAGTAACTCAAAAGAAATGTGAGATGCACAAATTCAGAGACATCTCCCCTCGAAATGTTCATATGGACTATTATTGCCCAACCTGTGGTAGAGCCTTCAGAGCTCATATTGGTCTAATCAGCCACAGTTCGACACACTGTACCTGGACCCTAACATAGTGATGTCATTTTGTCGATGTCACATCACCTTGCATTTATTTTGAATATTCTCATGTATATGTGGTATACATGTTGGGGTATGTGATAGGATGGATTGAGTAGTCTGGGAAGACTTCCTGGAAGAGCTGGCTTGAACTGGGCTTTGAAGGAACTAGGAGGATTTAGATGGAAGGATCGAATGATTTAGAACTGATAAAATCACAGGATTATAGATTTCAAGTTGAAAGGGACCTTGGAAGTCCTCTACTCCAATCTGTTCATTTTGCAGATGAGAAAACTGAGGCCCAGACAGGTTAAGCAACTTTTCCAAATTTACATGGGAAATAAATAACACAATCAGGATTCAAGCCTGTCATCCATCTTTGCACTACAGCAAGCAACCTAACAGGTCATTTGGTGTATCCATATTGGTTTTGTAGAAGGGGAAACTGAGTCCGAGAAAGGAACATGCACTTGCTCAAGGGCATATTGTTCATAAGTAATGGAGCTGAGATTCAAACCCAGGTCTTCTGACTCTTTCAAGTTCTGAGGGAACTTATGAATGTCTCCCTGTTCCTCACTTGACTTTTTTTTTTTTGCCTCCTGCAAGAAACCCTCCTTAACTAAAGACATTAAACTTTGACTTTTGTCCTGCAATATTTTTTTTACCCAGAAAGGATCATCTTTGTTGCCTAATGGATTGAACTCAATGGCATGGAATAGCCAATCTCCTAATTTTACGTTGGGGTAAACTGAGGCCCAAGGAGAAAAGGCTCTAACTCAAGGTGATATAGCAAGTCAGTGGCAATACAATTCTGGGATTCCAGGTATCAGAATTCCCAGGCTCCACTATCATTCATTCATTTAAGCCCAGAGGGTATTGGATTAGTGAATAGAATATTGATTGGGCTTTGGAGTCAGTAAAATCTAGGTCCAAATCGCACCTTAGATGTTTTCTAGCTGTGACCCTGAGCAAGTCACTTAACCTCTCCGGGCCTCAGTCTCCTTATCTGTAAAATTGGAAGGTTACATTTGATTGCCTTTGAGGTCTCTTTCAGCTCTAACCCTATGATCCTAAAAAGAAGGAATGACTGGGGGCCGGAATCCCAGCCAGGCTCCCCAAACACAGTGACACTTATGGATTCAGTCAGCAGAGGGCAGCGTAGCCCCAGGAGCTGCTGGAGGAGACGCGAAGAGAAAGGAGGGAGGATGAAAAGAAGGGGCGATGGGAGGTGGGGGGAGGGAAGACTTTCTAAGTTGGAAGGGACTTGCAAGTTTATCTATTTCTAACCTCGTTTTTCACATCAGGAAGAGCACTGCCCACAGTCAAGAAGCAAAGGGGGGACAGGGAGGAGAAGGAAAAGGTAGAAGAGGATGGGAAAGGGGAGGAATGGAGGGAGAAGGGAGGAGGAGAGGGGAGAAAAGGGAGGGATGGAAGAAGAAAAGAAAAAAGGAAGGATTGGGAAGAGGCAGGAGAAAAGAGAGAGAGGGAAAGGGAGAAAGAGAAGAGAGTAAAAGAGAAGGGAGGAAGGCAAGGAGGAGAAAGAGGGAAGTTAGGAGGTTAGGAAGGCGCGCCCCTTTGGCTCCTTCTCCTCTTTGGCTCCTTCTCCTCTTTGCATCTCCCAGCCCAGCCTGGAGTCTCAGCCCAAGAGAAAAGGAAAGAAGAGGGGAGGGGCAGGGCTACGGTGCCACCCAACCCCGCCCTCCCCCCAGCCTGGGCACCGGGGAGGAGTGGGGGCGGGGCTGGAGAAGCTAGGTCAGCCCTACTCACCCACCCCCAACTCTCCAGCCTCCAGACCTGGGACCGCCCCTCCTCCGCCTCCCCGTGCGCTCTCTAAGTGCCGTACATTCAGTCACTGGGGGTCCCAGTCCAGCCCGAGGATCCAGAGCAGAGCGGCCCCTCCTCACCCAGACCCCGCCCCCTCCCCAACCCATTCCCTCCCTCTCTGCCTCCCCCTTTCCCTCCCTCCCTCCCTCCTCCCGGCAAAGTTTATTTGCAGGCAACAAAAGAGAGAGGGAGAGAAGGAGGAGGAGGGACCAAGCAAGCGGGGGAAACGGCGTGAGAAGGGGGGAAGCCAGAGGAAAAGGTTTCTCCCCAGGAGCTCCCTTCCCGCAGGACCCCCAAGGCGGGTCTCTGTCGGGGGGCGGGGGCGGCCCGGGGCCCCTGCCCTCGCCCCCGGGCCGCGATGTCCCCGGGCCGGGCAAAGGTGGAGACTGAGGCTGAGGCTGAGACTGCGGACCAGGGCAGGGGCCGAACCTGGGGCTGGGGCTGAGGCGCGCCGGGCCCGGCCGGGACTATGGAGCTTGCAGCACCGCCGCCTTCCCGGTTGCGAGCGGACACGAAAACTTGAGCCGGGGAAAAGTTAGTTGCTCGTTATCTCGCTCGCCCGCTCGCTCACAGGGGAGGCTTGGGCCGGAGGAGAGAGGCTTGGGCCGCGGGAGCTCCCCACGTCCCCCCTTTTCCCTCCTCCCTGCTCTCGTCTCTCCTTCCCTCTCTCCCAAGTTCCTCCCTCCTCTCTCCCCTGCGCCCTCTCTCCCTCCTTCTCAGTTCCCCTCCCTCCCTTCCTTCTCCCCTCATCCCATCCGTCTCTCCTCAGCTCTGTCCCCCCTCTAATTCATTCTCCCCAGTTTTCATCCAATCCTCCCCATTCATCTCCCCCTTATCCATTCTCCATATCTCTTCCACCCTCAGCTCTTCTCCATCCTCTTCAACTCTCATCCATTCCCTCAGTTTTCATCCATACTCCCCGCCCCCCGCTCCCGCTCTCATTCATCCCTCCCCAGCCAAGTTCTCATCCTTCCCACCCCCACCTTCAGCTCCGGAGCCTTCCTCGCTTCGCAGAGTAGTACATGGACCCGCTTCTGCGAGGACTCCGAACCCCGTAGGGGCTGTGATTGGGAATCAGACGGGGGGGGTGGCCTCCTGCGGAGGGGGGAAAGAGGACTGCCATGACTAGCTGAGGCGTCTGTCTCCCCCTCATCCCCTCCAGAGGACCACCATCACCTCCCTTCGGAAGGACCAAGAAGCCCCAACCCTCACCCCCAGCCCAGTCTCCCCCGGTGCCCTACAGGGCAGAGCCATGACCGACGGGCCGCCCCCGCCCCCGCTCTACCGGAGCATCTCGTTCAAACGGCTGGAGCGCTGGAGCGGCGGTCCGGGCTCCGACAGGGCGGACTGTGCGGAGGACACGACGTCCTCGTCCCCGGGGCTCCGGCGGCGGGCTCCCGGCACCGCCACCCTGGCGGCTTCCCGACGCGTATCTAAGCTGGCGTCTGGGAGTAGTGGGGCTGCGGCGGCGTCCTCCCCACGGCCCCTGCGCAGCCTCTCGCCGTCCGTGCGCCAGCTGTCCCAGCGCTTCGACAGCGCTGGCCGGGGGTCGCGAAGCAGGAGTCGGAGCCAGAGCCAGATCCCCGGGACGGGCGCCCCCAGCCAGGAAGCGGCCCACTGGATGCGGGGCCGGGAGGGGGCGCCGTCGGAGTTCCGCAGGGGACAGTTCACGGCCGAAGAAGGAGCTGGAGCCGGAGCCGGTGGGGGCGGGCCCGGGTCGGAGCCCGCGGGCCACTGGCCCAGCGTCACGGAGATGCGCAAACTCTTCGGAGGCCAGAGCTTCAGACGGCCAAGCCCCGATGGCCTGTGGGGGTCGTCCAGCCCGGCCTCTGCTTCCCCCACCCGAGACGAAGGGGATCAGAGCCCAGAGGAGCCCCTTGGCCGCCAGCAGCCGCCTCCACCTCCCCCCAGGACCTGTTTCCCCCTCTCTGGCCTTCGGTCCCCCCTGCCCCGGGCCCAGGCCGAGGGGAGGAGGCAGCAGCAGGCGGATAGTTCACATTCTTGGCATAGTTACTGCCAACCACACGCCGGCCCCCAGGCCTCTGTCTGCTCCTCCTCCTCTTCTCCTGCCACTGCCTTCTATCCTGTCAGCCGCAGCCTGAGCAGAGGAGAGAGCTCCAGCGAGGAGGAAGAGCAGGCCGGAGGCCGCGGGATCTCTGCTGCCCCCAGCCCAGGGGCCCAGGCCTCCAGAGGTTCCGGTGGTGAAGGAGACGGGTTGAAGGAAGAAGGTATCCTCCAGGCTTCCTCCTACAGGAAAGAGGCCTCTGCAGGGGGGTGGGATCTGGACAATGATGGGTTAAAACCAGGCAGGATGGACTCCTCTGAGCGGACCCCTGAAGGTCCGGGCCTGGACCCCCAGAGGCCAGGATGTGTATCAGAGAGCCTCCAGTCTTCCCGAGGGTCACAGGAAGGCCTTAGGCAGCTCCCCAGGGGCCTGCCAGAGAGTTTTGGGAGCACCTTCCCCATGGTCTCCCGAGTGGCCAAGGTGAGCTTCCCACCCTGTGTGGCCAGTCTTGGCCATCACTCAAGCACAGAGAAGCTGAAGGAGGAGGATCTTTGGACTGGACGAGGAAGCTGGGGCCTGTATCGATCACCTAGCTTTGGTACAGGGGATGGTTTTCTCCGGCCTCAGGCCCATGCCCGTCCAAAGCCTCTAGTGTGCGTGGGCAAAGGGCAGAGGGACAGCCCCATTGAGGCTGGGGAGCCCAGCTACAAGTTCGTGGAGCTGGAGAAAAGCCGGCAGAGGAAGTCCCTGTCAAACCCCGACATTGCCAGTGAGACACTGACCCTGCTTAGTTTCCTCCGTTCTGACCTCTCTGAGCTGAAGGTCCGTCGGAGTGGACGACGACCTGGGGACCATGATGGAGCACCACAAAGCTGCAGTGATGCCTCCGAGGACAGTGAGCTGACTGGGCATCAGGGACCTCTGCTTGCCCCGGCCAGGCAGGCCCTGGGTACTCGCCCAACCCTCAAAGACCTCACAGCCACATTGCGCCGGGCAAAATCATTCTCCTGCTCAGAAACACCCTCCCCTCGAACGCTCTCCCGGACAGGGGCACTGAAGCCCAGCTCCTCAGAACTGCTCCTTGCAAGACGGAGGGCTGAGGAAGAGGAGGAGGAAGATGGACTCCCTGAGGTTGTACAGGATCAATATGTGCAGGAAGCTAGGCAAGTATTTGAGAAGATTAGCCAGATGGGGGCCCAAAGGGATGATGGAGGATCCCCCCCTGCCCTGCACCTGCCCACAAGCTCTCCCTGCCGGAGATCCTTGGAAGAACTGTCAGGCCATGAATCCAGTCTGACCGATGAGGGCATAGTGACAGAACCTGAACCAGCTAGTATTGCCTACAGGGGCCTGGGGCCTCTATCGGAGTGGAAGTCTGGTGAGTTCCCCCTCTCCTCATCTCGGATAAATCCCAGTGGTCCTCCAGCAGAGGGAGGCCGGGCACCCACCACAGGGCCCCCGGATGCTCCAGGTACCCCAGGTGCCCTTCGTCGACGCCGGAAGGGCCCCCCCATAGGCCCTGGTGGAACAGACCTCAGCAATGGAGACGCTGGTGAGGCCTACCGTTCCCTGAGTGACCCAATGCCTCACCATCGTCGGCCCGTCCCATTTGAGGAGTCTTCAGGTTTCTCTGTAGACAGCAACTTGCTGGGCTCCTTGGGCCCAAAGGCTGGGCTTCCCACTGCATCAGCTGTGGCCTTGGCAGATTGTGGGGCTGGTGGGGCCAGTGACTCCTCCATTGGCAGTGACGGTGGGAAGGACTTTCAGGCAGTGATCCAGAGTGTGGTCCACCAGCCAGGTGCCCTGGGCCGGGCAGTGGATGAACGAGTCCATGGCAGAACAGCCAAGAAGAAGTCATTGAGTGACCCTAGCCGGCGTGGGGAGGAGGCCAGCCCTGGGTTCGAGGGCCCTGGTGGGGAGCCTATCCTGGAGGCAGCTCTTCCCCCAGCCAGCAGTGAGCCCATCCTACTGGAACATCAGTCAAGTGAACCAGGAAAGGCCAGGGCTCAGTCTGAGAGAGTTCTGCCCAAGGCCTTTCCAGTCACTGCTCCCTTGGATTTCCACCTTGACCCCAAGCTAGCTGATGTGCTATCCCCGCGACTTGCCCGCCGGGGCTCTAAGAAAAGGCCAGCCCGGAGCAGTCACCAGGAGTTCCGAAAAGAGGAGGACATGGCTACACTGGGAAGGGCCCAGCCTGGCTCCCGCCATGTTCGACATGCCAGTGAACCAGCTGCCTTCATCCCCATTGAGGCCTCTGAACCAACAGCCACAGGCACTGAGACCTCAGGATCCACAAATAAAGTCTTTCCAGCCCTCCAGGTGCCCTCCCTGGAGGATGTTACCAAGCAGTATATGCTGACCCTCCGTTCCGGTGAGTCCCCTGCTCCCGGGCCCACAGATGTATCCCAGTCCACTCCAGCCACACCAACCTCTGCTGAAGCCAAACCACTGGAGGTGGCCCGGCCCCCGGAAGACCCAATTCCCACCGAAAGGAGGCAGAGTCAGAGCAAACCACAAGTGGTGAGTGTTGAGGGAGGTTGGGGAGGCAGGGGCACAGGGTAGGGGGGAATGAAAGGGAGAAGGCACTGAGTCCAAACATCGTCTATTTGAACTCCATTTGGTTCTTGTGTTTGTAGGTATACAGTAAATAGGTGCTAATTACAAATGATTCTTATTGATTTATAAAGGAATACCATCTATTAATAAGGGCATATGATCTATTCACTGTTTCTTCTGTGTTATCAAATCGGTGGCTTATCTATTCACAAAACTTTCTCCTCCACCCCCAAAGAGTTAGTATCTGTTCATTCAATTGAAGTCCCTGCACCAGTCTACCTGAAATAGGCGTCATTCTTTGAAGAGGTCCACTGCTCAGGCTTTATCGTTGAGTCCCAACTTAGCCCGTCACATCCCCTTACCTCTCTTCTTTAGTCAAACCCAAGGGAGAAAGTTTGACTGACTTGGTCCCCTGGAGGCCCCAACGATGCTAGTACCTAAGTTTTCTGAGTGGGAATCTTCAGCCCTTAAGGTCTCTTTCTTCCTTGCCTCCAGCCCAGACTCTCCTCTCTTCCCACCATGATCTTAAGGGGAGAGGTAGGTGCTGACTCTCTTTCAGCTGGAGAAGGAGGCAAGGGGTTAGAGTGGGAAGCAGGGGCTTCTTAGAGGAGACAGTGTTTGGGGGGCCAGAAGGAGGGTGCCAAGTATCTATGGGAGAAGTTTGGCCTGGGACCCACATGAACTGGAGCCTAGGCAGGGTCAGCAGACCACACTGTGCGCCTCTTCTTTCTGCCTGCTCCTTGCCCTCTGAGTCCCATTTCTTCTTTCTTCTCTCCATCCCCTCCTCCCTTGTCTGCCTTTGTCCAGACCTGGGCAGCCATGAGAACAAAAGGCTGGAAGTCCCCTGCCTCCAAATTTTGCTGGCGCCCTTGCCACTAAGCCTTGGCCTCACTGATTACCGTGCCTGTGGGAATAGTCTTGTGGAAAGAGAACTGGGTTTGGAGTCTGAGGATTACAAGTGAAATCCCAGCCCTGTTAGTCAAGGTATTCTCTCTGGTTCTCAGTATCTTCTCCAAAATGAGTATCTTCAGCTAGGAGCTAGCATTCTTGCCCTGGGCCCTTGAACTTTTCATATTTTGATAACTGTATTTCAATATAATTGGTTTCTTTTGTCTTCCTGTATATTTTATTTAATGCATTTAAAAACATGATTCTGGGGTAGCTAAGTGGCATCGAGAGGACCTGCATTCAAATCCAGCCTCAGACACTTGCTAGCTATGTAACCCTGGGCAAGTCACTTAACCCTGATTGCCCCCTCCCAAATAAAATAAAATAAAAACATAATTCTGAGAAGAGGTCTAGAGATTTTCCCAGACAGCAAAAAGGGGGTATAGGTTGCCAAAAAAAGGTTAAGAAACCCTAGGCTAGATGATCTCTAAGGTCCCTCTCTGCTCTAAATCCCATGATACTGTCATGCTTTGGGTTCATTTGGCTGGGCTGGGCTGGGCTCTGGGTTCCAGGTCCTGGGCTTGCACTCAGGAAGACCAACTCTAGGATGCAGACTGTGTGTTCTGTGAGCTCTGCAATGGACATGGGCCATAACGTGCTGCCACCTTCTGTCTCCATACCTTTGCTATGTCAACGCGCATACCTGAAAAGGATTCTCCCAGTCTCATATCTCTATATATGGTCTTGCTATTGAAATTCTTCTCTTCCGTCAAGGCCCAGCTCAGCTGCCATCTCCTCCATGAAGCCTTTTCTGATACCACAAGTGAAAGTGATCCCTCTCTACTCAAATCTGTTGTGGCCCTTTTCTTGAAAGAAACCTCTTCTGGGTGAGACTAGTCTGGACTTGGAGTCTG